AGGCCGTGTACCAAAGTATTATATTTGGTATATAGGATAGTCCAATAGTCCGCGAAAAATGAAAATTCGAGATATATATTCAGGTATGAGGGATCTATTGACTACTACTTACCTACTTACCTAATGTTGTTGTTATTACTTATTACTTATTGTTATTACTGTTATTACTTTTGTAAAATACTTAAATACTGAAGTCTCAATAAATTGTAATTCGCGAATTCATATTCCGTCTTACAACAGTACAACCATGAACCATTGCTAAAATAGATCTGTCTATAATAAATGATTAATATAAATCCAAAATACTATCAATACAGAATTGTTAATTTTTTATGTACTGTCTAACTTGCTAAGCCAGAGCAAAATGCAACTAGACGTTTAGACTTTAGGTGGTATTATACATGTATACCCCATAATATTATATACCATATACAGTTTCATACCAAGTTAATAATATTTATTTATATATTATTAGTGCTTGGATTGGTGGGAGTCTCATGGGATTAGATCACAGCATAGATTAAATCTATTCTGTGGTTAGGGTACCCATTCGTTTTTTTAAAAATGCTAAGCGTACACATTATAATTATATCAATCCACTAGACATTTAAATCTACAGGTACTCAAGTCTCAAATTGTTTTTATACTTTTGCATTTTTAATTATAACTAAATGGTGATTTAGTCACAGGTAACAAAAATAATACTGGTATATGCCATTGACATTGACTGTGGGCATAACCATAGACGAGAGCCCACAGGCATTATCCACTTCCTAAGTGTCTATCCAGACCTGCACGTCAAATATAGGTACTTACTGAACAAATAACATTTCCTAATCCGTCAACAATATCCTTCGTTCTAATTATTATATTACCCCGAAAATGTTTTTCACAAATGACCTCGGTAGGGTTAAAATAATCTATCCCTAAAGATTGTAACCATTTCTCCTTTAAATGTTTATCTTTAGGGATATTAAAAACTGAGAGTTTCTCAGAGGTGTTACAATGAAAGTAACAAATTTTATTTCTCATTTTCAAAATATAATACTAACTAAATTAATAGAAATTAAAAACATAAATCGAACATCTATAGAAAAGGTTTATAGTTGCCACTAGACAAATAGACAATAGACAACATTACGCAGTTTGTATTGTTTGTATCAAACTATGTTAGAATTATCGATTATTATAAATCGATATAACACAAATAAACAATACTATTATATAATAATATTATATATAATAAAGTATAAACTTATCTCAATTGTTAGGCGGGCCGATCGGTAAACACCGGTTCCTTAATTTCCTAACCTCAAAATACGTCTACCCGGCAGCGCTTTTGCGGCAACTTGGGAAATGTTTTTCCCTCATTAAGCGGATATATTGTAATAGGCGGGAGGGTGAGAAGTTGTCCGACCTTATCTTCTAAGACCGTGGCACCGACGCTGGGCGAGTCGGCCGCAAGTAGGGATGTCATATCGAAAGATAGTATCGATACTTGTACTCATTACATTAATCGATTGTTCATATCGATACCGATAATTTTATCGATATGAGTAAATATCGAATGAATATAATTTTTTCATACAAACATATATTTTTTCGGTTTTTCTCAGTCACAATTTCAAAAGTTCATGTGATCTCAGTTTGTGATCTTGTTATAAATTTAAGGGGCAAAAATTATTTTGAAAATAAAATTCTTATTACTTTCCTTATCAATAAAAACAATATTTAAGAAAATCCCAATAAATCCTATCAAAAACTCAAAACCCGAGTTTCCCCTTGGTGAGGTGGGTGTTAGTACTCTCCCGGACCAAAATCCGTCAAAAAAGCAAAATCCAAAAGGGGGGGAGGAGGTGCCCCCGTTCCCTAAAGCGGAAAACGGTAGTCTTCATAATAAGAATGGGTTCCCCCTTTGTCCGAGGTCTTTAACTTGAATTCCGACCGAGTTACACTCAACTCAAACTTTGGGGGGAGGGTGGGGGCTTTGGTTCCCTAATGTTGAAAATTCATCTGGGGCCTATACAATTGAGATGCTCATTGGTCCGGGGTCTCTAAGTCGAATACCGGCTAAGTTATGCTTCGTCAAAAATAATTACTCGTTTAATGGGTCCCTCCCACTCCGCCCGACGGTCGCCTCTACGCGATGTTGGGTAGCCTACGCGAATGGCACCCGGGAACGCCTCACAGCGAGGTAACACCACATTTTTTCGTGCGTGCAGCCGGCTCCATCGATTTATAAGACGTTATCACGTCAAAAAATAATATCAATATATTATATTATGTTATATAGATGATTCTTAATTATGTATAATAATGTAATATTAATAATTTGCAATAAAAACAAAATATATTATGCAGATTATTTTGTATGAATACTTCACAATTTACATTGCCCAATACCTCGGACATTGTTTACATTGTCCGAATTTTCCACTTTGCCCGTAACATATATACAAAGTCTCCCTTAGCTGTTAGGTACACGGTAGAGCAGCGGTTCCCAACCTTTTATAAGCGTGGCCCCAATATTTTAAATTTAACTTTTGGCGACCCCAAAAAAAAAAAAATTCATAATTTATTGTAAACTCAACATTATTTTATTTATTATCATCAAATTGGTAAATATGTATATTTGTTGATTTATCTATCTATATTCTATTCTGAAATACTTGTATAAAATGTATTATAAAAATGAATTTATTAATATTTTCAAATGTAGGTAATATGGAATTAATTTATTATGAGCAAAAATATAAATTATATACCTGTTACTACGCTATGCGGGTACGACCACGCACAGCCTGCGACAGATCATTTAGATAATCTATTTCAAATTATTTTTTCCTCGATCATTATAATTCTTATTATTAGAATATTTCAGGATTTTTTTATTTTTTTTTAATAATATGTAAATTGTAAGACGTATGTAATGATTTCGCGACCCGCCATAAAAACCTCCGCGACCCTAATTTGGGTCGCGACCTGAGGTTGGGAATCGCTGCGGTAGAGACTAGGAGGTGGATCAAAGGAATACCGGCGGTTTCGAAAGGTACCGACGCAGGTGTTAGGCTGCGAACACACTGTCCGGTTTTAACCGCAGCGGTAGAAATCATCCGGTTGTCTGGTTCGATCGAAATACATTGTTTTGAATTAGACCGACCACACTATCCTAAAATAAACGCTGCGGCCGTCCGGTTCAAAAATAAACCGCATCGTGTTGCGGTTGTGGGGATTGCCCGGACAACCGGAATTCTATCAAAACATATGTATTTGCAACGAGTCGTCCACACTGACGTACGCGACCGGCCGAGTTGCATGCGAGTTGCAGTACAGTACAGTACGAGTTACATGCCTGTTATTATTTTTTAATTTTTATCTCTGTAGTCTATGTTTTAAATACATTTTAAAAATGTTTAATGTTGATAAATTCATCGAATTCATTCACAACAATAATGCAATTTGGGAGACAAGCTCCAAAGAATACATGGACAGGAACATAAAAGCCCAAAGTTGGCTAATTGTAGGACAAGCTGTATATGAAGATTGGGACGATTATCAACTACAGATAAAGATAACCGAGGTAAGATTTTGTTATAATTTAGTATCGTAATGAGTAATATATGTACCTCAGGCACGCCCGGAGTGGGGGGCAGATGGTGTAAATGCACCACCTGAGAATTTTAATAATTTGGATTTTTCAAATAAATAATAAAATATATAAAAATTCCTTCTCTGTTAATTTTTAATTTATGCCCTTGATTATTCTCAATATAGTAATAAATTATAATATTATATAATATTATAATACCTATTCTGGCTATTCCGCATTTTAGTACTGTGTACAGTCATGTCTAACCACGTGTCTATTAATACATTTATTTTGGTCACTAATAATATTATTATGAATTTCGTTATCTGACATCAGTCACATCTATTCTGTGGTACACTATTATTTATTTTGGGTATGTTCGAACAGCTCATTATAATATATTGTTGTATTCTATACATAATATTATTATGATTGTATAATTGTTATTGTATATTCGGGTTCTAATTTTACTCACATTGACATAACATTATCAATTTAAATAAACGTTTAACGTGATATTGATATGTAATATTGTGGAATTATTTTATTATTACGAATTACGACTTTCGATGCCGAACATTACAAGAAATATGACTAATAAACGAAATCTAATAAAAATTACAAATTTCTTTAACAAAAAATATATTTTATGTATTTACTCCAACTTTATACTAGTATAGTAGCGTGCCTGATGTTCCTTTATATAAAACTATTACTATAAAGTAGGTACCTTTATCTAGAGACCTAGATTAGTAGACTAGTAGAGTATTAACAGTAGACACTCGCGAGTACATTTGTACTTAGTACTTACCTATAATACGATATGGCTATATATTAGTAATAATATGGTTGTATGTTAGTAATAATAAAAAAAAACGAGATGTGGGTGACGCTGTAGGTAACAACTGTAGGTAACAACTTAGTGACTATAAATATATTATATTAAATTTGAATTAAATGATATAATATACAGTAATATACTCTTATTATATACAATACACATAATATTATACAGTATCTATATACGGAAAACAATTCTGAGCGAAGACGGTTAAATAAATTCTTTGATGCTCGGTAGTAGGTCGGAAACTACTGTGCATTTAAAATGTTGACCACCTGAATGCAACAACTAGATTAATTTTCTCATCGGAAAATATACTGAAGTAGAAAAAAAATCGAAGCATTATTTAGAATACTTATCGTATATACAGACACAAAAAAAACACATAACAGTAAAATCGAGTAGTTAATAAGTTATAATTAGTTGTTTTTAATAATTGACATACTACAAGTAACTATATTATATTTCAATATACAAAAAATAACTTAAATATAATACTAGGTAATGAATAACACAAAATATAAAACTTATATGCATATATAATTTTTAAAAATGAAGAACTATTTCAGTTTATTTTGAGTTCTGAAAAGGAACGGCTCCTGGACCAATAAAATAATTTGAAAAAAAATCTCTCACCTCAATACCTTGAGATCGTGTCCCAGTTCCATGAACTTCAATATCTTCAAGCGAGATTGTTTCTGAGTTTCCAAAATTGGTTCCATCTCTTTTACGTACGAAATTGTGTAAGACACAACATGCCTTTATAATATCATCCGTAAAATCGGGTTCTACTTGAATGGGAGTGTGCAATACTCGCCATTTGTTAGCCAATACACCAAATGCACACTCTACCATACGACGTGCCCTGGATAACCTATAATTGAACACTCTACGAATATCTGTGAGATTTCGTCCAGGATAAGGCCTTAACAAGTGTGTATGGAGCGCAAATGCTTCATCACCAATAAAAACATAAGGTTGAGGGTTGCTTTCTGTTTCTGGTAATAAAGCTGGTTCTGGAAGATCAAGTTATAAAATTGTTGTATCCGAATACAACAATTTTCCGAAGTTGCTATTTTTAAACACGTTTGAATCACCTTCCTTGCCGTATGCTCCGACATCGATTGTTATAAATTGTAAATTAGCGTCGACGACAGCCATCAATACAACAGAAAAATACTTTTTATAATTAAAATAAAGGGAACCCGAATTTTTAGGATTTTTGCACCGTATATGTTTCCCGTCAATTGCTCCTAAGCAGTTAGGAAAATTAGTTTTCAAATAAAAAACGTCAGCAACTTCCAACCACTTGTCTTTTGTTATCTCAGGCATTTCTGTAGGCTTTAGAGTTGACCATATTACCTGACACGTTTCTCTCACTATTCCCGATATAGTGCTTTTTCCTATATGAAAATCATAATGCAGTGCAGAAAAGCTCACTCAAGTAGATAGATACCTAGAACATATATTTTTTTATGGTAATTTAAAAATTAAAAATATTTGTTAGATTCCGAGCGGAGCGATAAAATGTACAATTTTACAATGACGGATGTTTTTATGTAGGTATATAATGTATATGTGTATAAAATTGATTTAATTTACAGCATTTAAAACAAAGTTTGTTATAAGTAATTTATATACATTATACATGATAACATGATTTAATTTTCAAAATATTTTGACTTTTTTGAGATATTTATAGACAACAGAAATTTTTAATTTTTCTGAAAATTTTTTTTTGAAGTGTCGATAAAATTTCTTTGGCCCAATCAAAATACTTGAAAATTTAGTACAAAGTTCCTCATAAGTTATTCTTATAGTGATTAAAATATTATAAGAATATATAGGCACAATTTTTTTTATTAGCAGGAAAAACGGGAATAAAAAAAATGTCAACAGATACATGACATTTTCACTGGTTGTTTATATTAGCATTTTCTATATATGATCCTTTTTTTTTTAATAAGCATTCAAAGTTCGAATGTTGACAAATTTTATCAAATTTAAAATAAAAAAAAAATAAAGAAATAAAGAAATAAATAAAAAAAAACACACATCATTGTAAAATCAATACATTCATCGCTCCGATCAGAATCTAAAAATTATTTTGTAGTTAAAAATTGATAAAATTTTCAAATTTCGAACTTTGAATGCTTATAAAAAAATATTGTGCCTATATATTTTTAATATTTTTCAATATTGTACTCCCTATCAGGAGTCTTATATTAAATTTTTATGTTTTTTGGGGCAACAAATAAAATTTTATTGGTATTTATAGAAAAAAAAACTAAAAAAATGGAAATTTGAAATTTCCATAAACAACTCAAAAAGAGTCAAAATATTTTTTATATATAAGATTTCCAATTATAATAAATAAGCATTTGATGTTTAAATTTATATATTTTACCTATTTATACATAGGTATCATTAATTAATATAGGTACTTAGTAATGTATATAGAATGACTGTCTCCGCTCAGAATCTTTTTTCGTGTAAAATACTACAATGTTATGTATAGCAGGTATCATTGAATTAAAATTAAAATCCACTCGACAAATAATGATGTACAGAAGAGCGGAACCCACTTGCCCACATAAAAAAAAAAAATATTGTACCTAAAAGTTATTTATTATTTATTTTTTAATTGGATTATTATTAAAATTTTTTAAGTCAAAGATTTAAAAAATCGATGGAGGCATATACGTGACGGGTATTCAAAATTTTTAAACCACGGTAAAAGTGGACAATCGGCCAAGAAAAAAACATTCGCTTATTCGGAATCCTTAACTTTTTTACAACAAGTTCTAGTAAAAAGAAAGTAAGTTAATTTTATTAATTTAATATAAAATATATCCATACTAAATTTGCTAAAATATAATTAATTACTTTATTAGAACGTCAAGTAACATAGAAGATCGTGCAGATGAAGATGACGAGGACAATATTTCGGTAGGTGAAAATGAAATGGATAATACTCAAGAACTTCTATCAACGTCAGTGACTTCAATTAATAATGCAACTAGTTCTGGCATAAATAATCGGGCGAAAAAAAAAAGAAAATACCTTAATCCGTTTAAATCCGCATTACTTCAACCTTTTGATTCCTTAAATAATGAAAATATTGATCCTGACAAGGCATTTTTACTTTCTATTTTACCGGATTATAAAAGCTTAGATCAATCAAAGAAAATAGATTTTCGTCAATACGTTCAGACTTTTTTTAAAAATCAAAACTCCTTTACTCAACAAAACACACATCCGCCACAGCTAAATCAAAATTATTCAAAACTGGTATATAACCAGCTACATCATCAACCATCATAACCATCACATCATCCTCTGCCTCAACAATATCAACACATACCACCATATCAACATCAGTATCAGTATGCACCAAAACTTGACCACTATCAATCTCTACAGCATAATTTTGATGTACCTGAAACCTTCTTCAGTATCAGCTTATCCTGTTAATGAAGAAACACCAAAAGACAAATAAAATAAAAAGGTATTTTTTCCTAGGGTATTTGTATTAATTAATTATTATTATATATATTATATTATTTTTTGGTGATTGATAATACTATGTCATACCTATCTAAACATAATTTTCAAGAAGGAAGTATTGATTATAATTAACTTTAGTATTACATTAAGTATTAACTTGAACACAAGGACTGTTTAACTTTATATATTATTATTTGATTGTTAATAAATAATACGCTTTTAGATTCTGAGCGGAGTAAGGAAGCTAGTGGTTTTACAATGGTGTTTATTTATTTTTTTTTTATTTTTATATCCTGTATACAAAATTTCTACCAGAAGGAGTGCTTTGATTTCAACATATAGTACCTTATCTTTTAGCAAATTGGACCAAGATGGTACTTTAGAGAGGTCATTTTTCGATTTTCTCAATAGTTATTTAATGCCACGGGAAAAAGTACTGAAAAATTACGAAAAACCGCTTAAAATGGGATTTTAATTTCTAACAATTTGTTTATCACCGTAGCAACGAATAAAAAAAATAATAATTAAATAAATAAAATAATTAATGACAATATAAAATATACAGACTGACAAACCGTCTCCGTTCAGAATCGTTTTTCTTATACAATGATATTATATCATTGAATTCAAGTTTAATACAATCCATTAAACAATGACCAACTTGTAACCTACTGTACAGCTGAGCGACATTCACTTACCTGCCTTTTTTTTTAATTTATTATACTATAAGTAATATTTTTAAAATAGTATTTTATTTTTAGTTTCTTAAAATTTATTAATTAATAATTATTATATGTTTATATAAATATATACATTACATAATTTTCAATAATGAAGTATCTATACTTATTATAAGCTTTATAATTAATTTTAGTATTATATTAAGTATTAACTTGAACACAGGGACTGTTTTAATTTTATATATTTTTTGATTGTTAATAAGTCTTTTTTCAAATTTATTATACTAATATGTACAACAAAAATACACATTTTCCATTTGTGTTTTGTTTTTTTATAATATACGAGAAGTACCTAATATTTAATAAATAATGCTTACCTTATTGTCACTGTTAACTGTTCTTCTGGAGTGATTGGATTACGAAGTTGAGTATAATTTTTAGATATTGATTCACGCACTTTTTGCAAAAGTTCATCAAATGAATTAATGGACATTCGATAATAGTCAAAGAACTTTTCTGGATATTTCCTCAAATCATTAAAAAACACTAGAAATTTTTTAGAATTTTCGCGATTTTCAATTAATGGGTGAACCCAATACTTCCTCTCCGATGGCTCGTCTAATAGGCCGGCTTCGTCTGCTAACCACAGCACTTCTAAAATCTTCAATTTTTGCATTTTAAATTTCAGAAATTACAAATAAAATGTACACACCACGTGAAAATAAATGATAGGACTGATAACTACAATAACTACAATAACCTACAATTGTTGAGGGAAACAAACAATTTTATGTTTTGGCGGGATATAAACCGGAGTAGTGTGGTCGAAAAAAGGCGTCCGGTCGACCAGGATGATATATTACCGCTGCGGTTGAAACCGGACAAAAACCGGACAGTGTGTTCGCAGCCTTAAGAGGCCGTCCTAGTAAAAGTGAAACGAATGCAACGCTCAAGAGATGGCGTTGTGCGCCGTATCGCCGCCGTCGCGGTAGGCCGTAACCACGCCCATCGTGTACGCGACGCGGCCCGCTTGTTGTAATCGCGGGAGAGGTACATTATTATTTCACGGACAGTCGTACAGGACGTTTCGCTTCATTACAGACCGTTGCGTAAATTGTCGCCTATGAATTCTACATGGTGCGCTGCCTCCTAGCTCATACGTCGCAAACCTACTTTTTAATTAAAGCTCCTGTTTGCATAAAAATATTAACCAATGAATTAAGCATAACAATTATTATATTCCATAACTCGATTTATATTTCTAACCCAATTATCTACTTCTTAAAATACAAGTAAAATAATAATTTCATTAGAATTAAATAGATTTTTTAGTAAAAGTGTAACGTATTTTACGTTGTAACTTATAAGTGACATGAAGCAATGTTTGTACGATAATTTAATCTATTAAATAAATATTAGCTACATTTTAAATAGTTTTGATTATATAGTTAATATTGATGTATTTTCTTATTTTAATTTTAAACATATAATACATATAATATGAAGTTGATGTTGTCCATAATGTTTATTAAATAAATATAAATAAAATAATATATTAATTATATAATTGCAATTTGTAGTACCTATGTAAAAAAAGCAATCTGTATAAACTAAACATGTTCATTGATCATAATATCATATAATGTATATAAACTAAAATTAAATTATGTACAGACCACATTTGTTATATATAATAGTTAGTTGAAACAAAACATTTAGATTAATGACAATTTATTATAATTGATAGGTAACTTAAATTAATGGTATAGGTAGCGTAGATAGTGTAACTGACGTATATTATATTCTAGTATACTACCTATGCTTTTATTTTATGAAATATCATAATATGTACATTATATTATCTATATGTAAAAAGGGCATAGTAAGTTATGCATGTAATAATAAAATAAAATATAATAAACTAGCTGATCCCGTGCATTTCGTTTCCCGTTAAATGTACCAACTCTATATGACTCAAACATTGTTCAATGCGTTATTTAATATTCGGTGTATGATGTTCTATATTTATCTTAAATTTTCTGTTGCCCGGAATAAAAATTCTGAATTGCAACAGCCAGCAGTACATTATCAGATAGGTAATTTACCTGCGGTAGATCGCGGACCCCGTGCTGTTTGTACGTAAGTGTATGATTTAACTCAAAAAGTACCAAAGTTATACCAAGTTTGACGTATTTACTTAATTCCACCTACCTATAAATCTTAACCTAACCTAACCGTACTAAAATCCGATGAATAAAAAAAACCAAATTTAACCCTTTTTAAATTAGCGTATCTTCTTCCCATAGGTCATTAATTTATATATAAGATATATTTACAAAAAATAATAATACAAATCAACAAACATGCCCGATTAACCAATAGCAACCAATATAATATAATATAATATACCATAGAGTAAATAAAGACAACGGTATCGAGTTCAAATCCCAGACATCAATAAATAGTTTTTGCAGTTTTTCTAATTATTCGGTTGACTTTTTAAAAATTTTCTTTCGTAAAAACCTTCACCTGGCAATTACGAACATCTTAAAAAAATTTGAGCAAAATCGGCCCAGCCGTTCTCAACTGATGCAATTTCGAATTATTTGTCTCCATTTTTATATATATAGATAATATTATGCCCTTAGAATTTTACATATTTGTTTTGCGATGTAATAAAAAAACAATTATAGTCCCATGTAAAATTAATTTGTAGGTATACAAGTTAAATAAATAAATATATTAATAAATAAATATGATACAAATATTTGTATTACTTAGTTTTAAAATAATAAATAAAAATGGGTGCAAATATTTAATATTAAATATTTTTAATTTTTTAATTTTGATGGATTTAAACCATTAAATTTGGATAAATATTGGCTTTATTATTATGACGCTGAACATTTTTTCTTTCTAAAGAGTCTTCATCAAACTCTTGATTTTTAGTGTAATTATTGTGTTTATGAAACCTTAGTATTAGATTATGAGTAATGCTAGAAAAAAATCCCGCTAGAAGCTTTGTACTCCACTCAAAGGTTTGATATAAAAAAGTAATATTAATACCTGTGTCACCAAGTGTATCTACACCAAACGATAAAAATATTGAAGAAAATACACAAAATTAAAAAAAAAAAGCGGGTAAGTGGATGTCGCTCTGCTGTACAGTAGGTTACTAGGGGTCACTGTATAATGGAAGGTATTAATTTTGAATTCAATGATATAATATCATTGTATAAGAAAAACGATTCTGAGCGGAGACGGTATGTCAGTTTGGGTAAAAGAACATAAATATTAAACATTTCGTCCAAATTTGAATTTAAAATGTCTGTAAAAAAAAAACTGTGTTTATGTATTTTTTAGATTTTTTGGTTACAGTATGAACTATTTATGAGAATCTTTGTTTTAAATTTCCAATCCTTAGTTATAATAACTGAACATTTTATAATTTTTTAATTACAGTGATTGATAATTTTCGATATTTTGATAAATTTTGTCCAAATTTGAACTTCAAATGCCTATAAAAAAATTGTGCTAATGTATTTTTAATATTTTGCGACTGCTATTATAACAATATATCAGGAGCCTCGTATTAAATTTTCAAGCTTTTTCGCCCAACAAATACATTTTTATTGATATTTATAGAAAAAAAAAATTAAAAATATTGAAAACTGACAATGTCTGTAAACAGCTCAAAAATAGTCAAATTAATTTGAAAATTGAATGGTGTATAGAAAATGCTAATATAAACATTCAGTAAAATTTTCAAATATATACAGTCATTCGTTTTTTAATTACAACAAAATAAGAAAATCGTTACATGAGAAATCGAGCGAATATCAAATGTTGTAAAAATATGAATTTCAAACGGTCATAAAAATTTAATTTGACTTTCTTCTAGAAATTTTTTTTTTAATCAAGGTGGAAAAACTTATGAGGAATCTCGTATTACATTTTAAAATCTTAGAATTAAAAAAAAAATTTTTTATGAATTTCTAACTTAAAATAATTTGCAATTTTTTGTCATTTTTATGTATGGTATAGGTATGTATATAATTATTACGGATAATTGTTTTTCTCAGTTCTATTATGGACCGATCTAAAATATTTGCCTCTCCCCTTCTCAAAAACTGAAATTACGCCACTATATTATACAAACCCTTCTACATGCATAACTTCCACTAGACTCCATAAAAATAACAATTTTTTTTCAAATTTTACATAGGTTGGTAAATTTTATAGTCGAGTATAGCACTGTATTTATTACATTATAACCTATAAACTACGTACTTCATACTGATGACTTTAGTATAAAATACAATACTAAGTCATCTGGCTATTCTGGCTATATCAATGAATGAGTATAGGACATTATATATTTATATAGTTAGACTACTTAGACTAAAATACACGCGTACATCTTCGAATACAATATACAATAATAAATAGCGTAATACATAATTTAATAACTGGCTCCTAATAGTAGATAAAAAATATTAATTATATAAAGTCACACTTTTTTTTTACAAGCATTTAAAGTTCGAATTTTGGCAACATAGAAAATACATAAAAATGAAGAAAATGTGCAAATTATTTTATGTTAGAAATTCATAACAATTTTTCTTTTTAAATCTAAGATTTGGAAATTTTAATCGTAAGTTTTTTTAATTTTATGAAAAAAATATCTACCGGACATTCAAATTGAATTTTTATGAGTGTTTGAAGTTCAAAATTTTACAACATAGGATAATATTGATATTATTCATATCTCACACAACCATACATAATTTATTATTTATCTCATTTTTATTAATTAAAAACTGTATATAATTTTAACAATTTACACTATATTTTATCAATTCCTATAACACTTTCACTCTTTCTGAGCTGATTACGGACATTTTCGATTTTTTTTAGTTTTATTTATTTTACAATGATGTGTGTTTTTTTTCTGTTTTTTATGGCCCTTTTTGGGTAGGAAAATTGCTCCGATTTCCTAGATCAGCATCTTTACTGATAGAAAAGTGAAACTATAGTTGGTATTTTTGGGGAGTCAAAATTCAAAATTTCTAGAAGTTTTAGAAAGAGTTGAGAAAAACAAAAAAATAGGTGACTTTTATACAAAATCAATTTTTGAAAAATCGATTTTATTTTTTTGGTGTATCTCAAACCTAACTGTAGAACCTTGAAATTTTCAACAAATATTTATATTAGAATTCTCCATAAAACATTTTCTCAATATTTTGACTATTTTTGAGCTAGTTATAGGCTTGAGCCCTTGAGAAATTTTTCCATTTTCCTAAATTTTTTTAAAATTATCCTCGATAAAATCTTTTTCTTTTAGTAAAAAATCTTGAAAATGTAATGATAGGTTCCTTATAATTTTTATTAATGGAAGTTTTAAAAATACATAGGCTCAATTATTTTTTATATTCTTATAAAGTTCCAATTTTGACAAAATTCATAAAAGTTTTTTTTTCATACCTAACTTGAGACATTTTAATAGAAGGTTTCTAACAAGTTTTTGTAATTCTATCAAACTAAAAAAGTTCCCCAGGAAGCCACGTTTTCGATCTTTGTTAATTTTTTTTAGCTACTAAATTTGATTACTTTTACAAGTGTGATAGGCTGATACAATGTCTCCGCTCAGAATATTTGTTCGTTTACAATAATTGA